GTGTGACCGTCTCATGAGGATTCTGAGAACTTCAAGTCTCTTGATTCTGACATTAGGAGAGGCAAGCCACACACTTTCTCTCTGCTTCACATTCCTGTTGACAAGCCACATGGAGCCCTGCTGATGGCCACCAGAGCCCTGGAGATGATCCCACCCTCATTGGATGCACAGATTTTTCACTTACCGGCCTATGACCTTCCTGCATTCACTATAATTGCATGTGCTGCGAGTCTGAGGAGGAATTTATGGACTAGTATCAGACATATGGCTAGTACCAGACTTAGGGACTTGATCTGGACTGGGCTGGGATGTTTTCTCACTATACAATTGCTCTTTGATATAAAGCTCTCTCTCACACACATGAGCGTCCCTGGATTTGTTTCTCTAGTCAACCGAACTAACAAGGTCCACTCTGAAGCGCCCGACAGTCTATTTCCCAAAATCCAGCCACTGGAAACCCTGTGGAGCATGTCCGTTTAGTTCTGACACCGGGGTGGCTGTGAGTAGGGGCAGACTGGATGGCAGCTGGCACTTTATCTTGGGGTCAGTGCACAGGCCAAGGAGGTAAATTAATCTAGGAGCTAGGGCTCAGTCTGGGTCTTAGATGACTCCCTCCACTCTGCTGTGCCTCCGTTTCTTTACCTGCAGAATGGAGATCCTAACACCGTGATCTCTCGCCTCCTTCTTCCTAAGGCTGGGCTAGACTTGAGCTGGGATGACAGCACACATACATCGGGAAGAGCTTTGAAAACCGATGCTGTGTAATTTTAAAAGAAACCGATCCAGACTGTCAACACCAAGGCTAGATGGTAGACAGTGGTGGCCGATGTTCCTCTCCCACCATCTCCAGTGAGGAGTGGGAGGAAATACCTACCCACGCCACCCCTCGCTGAGTTCTCTTTAAGGGGAGCTCCTTCTACCTGAGTGGATAGAGAAGCAGAGCCGTAATGTTAGGGAGGCCAGCTTAGGGAAGAGGGGAAGGGGCGGGGAGGAAGGATCTGGAATAGAATATGCCTGAAAGACAGTTTGTTATATGTAATGTGCCCAGTTGGCAGAAACAGTTGAGGACATGCCAGAGCCAGCTGACTCCATCTGAGATGCTTGGAGGGAGGTCTTGTATCAGCTTGGAGCTGGAAAGGTGGGTGGTGCCCTGGCTGGAGGCCCACGGGATCCGGCCAGGTTCAAGTTCATGGCAGAGGGTGCTCCCAAGTTGTGGCTGCCGGGGGGCCTTGATTTTACCCAGAGCAGATGGGCCTCATGGTGGTCCTGCCTCGGGCTGGTACTGAGAAGATGGCAAGTCCCAGGGGAGGACCTGGGTAGAATGGAAAAGCGTGGTGGTAGCCTTGATCGCCTGAGCTGACAATGGACAGTGAGCTGTTGTTGCTGTCGGATCTGGGAAAATCATTGAGAATGCACAGGACAAAAAGCCCCTTGACCACCGGTACCTGTGGTGGTGGGACTTCCGCAGGCCTGTGAGACAGGGGAGGTAAGGGCCTGCCTTGTCTGAGGCTTGTGGGATACCTCGGATGAGGTAAAGAATGAAAACCCTAAATTTGTATATAAAGCCATGGTGGGATCTACTTCTAAAAAATACATCAGCCAATGAAAATCCTGCAGGGCACCGTCCCCCCACCCCCAACACACACATAGGGTTGCCACATGTCAAGGGGACGTGATGACAGCTGGTTTATAGTCTGTGCACATCCAGCTGTGTGCAGTTGTCTGCACAGACCGCCTGTGCGGAGGTAACATGTGACCCGAGTCTAGGGGATGTTGGGTGTTTCTCTTGGGTTCCTCCTGCCTGAGCTTCCCGCCCAGAAACCTTGTTTCGAGGAAGAAAAAGGGAAATCCAGTAGGAGTAAGTATTGAGAATGTCCTGAGAGGGTGGGCTGTCCTCACAGGTGAAGGTCTGCAGGGGGCGCACCAACACCCCAATGGCCTGGCTCTGAGCTTCCCTCTACTGAGTTCCTCTGGGCCCTGGAGGTCCTCCCAACTGCCTGAGGCTCTGCAGAGGGCACGGCCTGGCCAGATAAGGCTGGTCCTGGCCCTTGCAGTTAGACTGCGTGTTCCTTTGCCCGGCAGGGACTTCTGACTGCCTCTCTGAGCTGTCCTGTCTGAGGAGCAGGTGGAGGATCTCAGCGCCAGCGTAAAGCGGGAAGGCTGAGCCAGGGCAGCTGGCTGAGCCCAGGGGCCTCTGGTTTGTCCCCATCTGAGCCGAAAGACACTCATTTGAATGCCTGGTTCTAGTCTGGATGCGAGAGAATTGGTTACACGATCCACTACACTTTGGGGTATGTGTGCAGAAGGAAAACTTGTATACTTCACTGCCAGCTGTCTCAGGCGTGAGAGTGTCTGCCAATAACAGCAAACAAAGTGCACTAGAGTCCTATAGATGAAGGTGTTTTGTGCTGTCACGCTGATTCCCACCCAGCGATGGTGGGGTGACAGGGAAGCGCTCAGCTGATAAGCGAAAGGTGGGCAGTTCGAACCCACTGAAGGAGAAAAATTTAAAAACTCACTGTGATTGGGTCCATTTCGACTCATGGTGACCCAATTAGGACAGAGGACAACTGCTCTTTGGGATTTCTGAGGCTGAATCTTTTTTTTTTTTAAGTTAAATAATATCTTTATTGACATATCTTACTTATCCCAATATCCTTTCCCTTCCCATACAGTTCTGTTGTTCAGTCTGGTTGTACAATCATCAATGCTGTCAACTCCCCACTCCCCGCAACTCCCTCACTTCCTGTACCCTCAGGGAACCCTTACTCCTGTCACTGTCTCTGAGGGGTCCTCTATCTTGACTGCCATGTAACCAAGAGACCTTATGTACAATGAACATAGGCAAGTCTAACATGATCAATGAGGTATATCACGTTAGGACCCTAATAGTAAGGGGAGGAAATCTTAAAGAACTAGAGGACAGTTATGTGGTTCGTCAGTGCCACACCACACCCTGGGTTTATCCTCCATTCCATGAGGTCCTTCTAAGAGGGTCTCTCCAACTGTCTTGCTGGTGGACTTTGGGTCTCCACTGCATCCACTCATCTTCATATCGATCTGGTTGCAGGTTTTTTGAACTTGTGATACCTTTTCCTATCAATACCACATAATCACATGGGCTGGCATGCTTTTTCCATGTGGGTTTTGTTGCTTCTCTTGTTTAACTACAAGCCTTTAAGACCCCAGATGCTATATCTTTGATAACCAGGCACCATCAGTTTTCTTCACATTTGCTTAGGTACCCTTTTTGTCTGAGACTAAATCTTTATGGGAGTAGAAAGCCTTGTCTTTCTCCCACAGAGCAACTAGTGGGTTCGAACCACTGACCTTGCAGTTAGCAACTCAATACATAACTCACGATGCCAGCAAGAATCCTTCTGTGGGAGAAAAGATGTTGTGATTTGCTTACATGTATATATGTCTGCCTAGGAAATCCTACCTAGGGCAGTTCTACTCTGCCCTATAGGGTTGTCATGAACTCTTGTGGTTAGCTGCCATCATGTTGGCCCCTGATTGGCAGTGACCCCGGTCAAGAAAACACTACCTGGTCCTGTGTTAGCCTCCTGCGGTTACAGATTGTACTGTTGTGGTCCATAGATTTTCCGTGGCTGTTTTTGGGGTTTTGTTTTTGAAGTAGATCTTCAGGCCTTTCTTTCTAGTCCTTCTTAGTGTGCAAACTCCACTGAAACATGTTCAACATCATAGCAAACCTCCGGACACAAGTGGCAGCTGCGCCTGAGGTCTGTTGGCCAGGAATCAAGCCTGGGTGTCTTGCATGGCACTTGAGAATTACACCACTGAAGGACTGCTACCCTTTCAGGCAGCGGTTCTCAACCTTCCTCACGCCGCCACCCTCTCATACAGTTGCTCATGTGGTGGGGACCCCCAACCATAGCGTTGTTTTCATTGCTATGTCATCACTCTTGTTTTGCTACTGTTATGAATCGGACGACCCTGTGAAAGGGTTGTTCGAACCCCCAAAGGGGTCACGACCCACAGGTTGAGAACCACTGCTTCAGGTTAAATGCAAACAAAACAGCTCAAACCCTCTACCGTGGCATTGATTTCAACTCATCACGACCCTTTGGAGGGTTTCTGAGACTGAAGATCTTGACGGGAGCAGACAGCCTCATCTTTCTCCTGTGGAACGGCTGGTGGGCTCGAACCACTGACCTAACCCACAGCACCACCAGGGCGCCTTGCTCCCTTTATCCGATGCATCAAGAATCTCAGGATAGGCAGTTCACAGCCACTGGGGAGGCTTCCCCAGACTATCAAGTTCCTAGGCGGCAGTCAGGCCAGTTGCCTAATGGCTACAAAACGGTTGCTGTCTCTCCAGACACTGCCTCCACATTCCAGACACAAAGCAGCAGAAGGGCCAGTGCCTGTACCAGGAGAGCAAGTGTTCTCAGTCATCCTCGCCATGCTGTTCATTGATCAGAACGGTGATCAATGCGGCTCCTCCCAGCTGCAAGGGAGTCTGACGCCGCCGAGGTTTGTGGCCAGCTACATCGAGGTCCTGCGGTTCGGTTAGTGGGAGAGAAAGGGGACCAAACTGGGTAGGCAATTAGTGTCTGCCCCAGCAACCCATATCCTATGTCCCTGGTTTTCCCGGGGAGTGTCACAATGAGGCATCATTGGAAATGGAAACGTTGGTCTAAAAGAGCCAGTGCGGCCAGACCGAGGGCCTAACTTACAAAGAGGGCGGGGCCATGGGGGAAGAATTAGTCGGAACAATGTAGCCCCAGAGCCAAGTTCTCCCTGTGTGTGCCGCCAAGCCCCGGAGTGTGGGTCCCACTGCATTCTGGTCCCACATGCTCGTTTGAATGCCCTCTTGGCAATCCCGGGGCTCATGACTGGGGCAGAAGGCACCCGCTAGTCATTCCTGGGGCTCTTCCAGATGGCAGGGCGGTTGTAGCTATCTGGCCCTAGGTCACCCACAGCTGACCCGGCCTCCCAGGGCTTTCCACTCACGGGTGTTGGTCTCCTCCCTACAGAAAATCCAGCAGCTCTCCGACGGCTCCATGTTTGGCCACGGCCTGAAGCACCTGTTCCATAGCCGCCGCCGGTCTCGGGAGAGGGAGCACCAGGCATCTCAGGATAATCCGCAGCCGCAGCCTCACCAGGGCATGTCTGACCATGACTCGCCGGACGAGAAGGAGCGCTCCCCAGAGATGCACCGAGTCTCCTATGCCATGTCCCTGCACGACCTGCCCGCCCGGCCCACCGCCTTCAACCGTGTGCTGCAGCAGATCCGCTCCCGGCCCTCTATCAAGCGGGGCGCCAGCCTGCACAGCAGCAGCGGGGGTGGCAGCCGGCGCACCAAGAGCAGCTCCCTGGAGCCCCAGCGTGGCAGTCCCCACCTGCTGCGCAAAGCCCCCCAGGACAGCAGCCTGGCCGCCATCCTGCACCAGCACCAGGGCCGCCCTCGCTCCTCTTCCACCACCGACACAGCCCTGCTGCTGGCTGACAGCGGCAACGTGTACCTCCTGGCCGAGGAGACCGAGAGCAGCGCAGACAAGGTGAGCAGGGCCCGGAGGCATGCTGGGACCGGGCTACTGGGCTGTCTGGGGTGGGGGCACCCTCTAGGCCTGGGAACCAGTGCTGGGCCTCAGGTGGCTGCTGCCATCCTACTGCTGGGAACAAACAGAGGTCTGACCAGGCTAGAGGCAAGAGCTGATGAACAAAGTGATAAGTTTGTATTTGTTTGGGGACACAGGTCTGATTTCTTTTTAAGAAAGATTGATAATTACTTCGGGTTTAGGGTACGTAGATCAATCCCTAGGTCAGTCTCATCAAGTGGACGTGTGCAATTACCACCACATCGGTTTCCAGACATTCTTTTTCTACGTAGACTCCTTGACATCCCCTCCCTTTTACCCCAACCCTCCCCCGCTGTACCCCCTCCCCGTTTTCATTTTTGTAACTGTTTTGTGTGTGTGTGTGAGTGAATTGGGTGAAAGTTCTCAGAGCGGATCGCCAGTTCTCCGTTCCGTCGTTCTGTTGTGTTCTGTGTCAGCTCGTCAGTTGCAGTGTCCTCCGTGTAACATCAGGTGTCCCACGTCCTCCTTGGCTTTCCTCCTCCACCAGCCCGCTGACCTTCGCCCTGGGGCGGACACTGCCCCGTGGATCTCAAGTGGTTGACTATTCCACCGTGTGCGTATCTCCTTCGAGCTATTGTTCCCTTGTGCATCTGGCTATTGCTTGGCTGAAAACACCCATGAGAGATGACTCGGGACCGTCGTTTTGGGGGCCCCACCGGTTTCTATCCAACCAGTAGCCTGGTCTCTTTTATGATCTGGAGTCTTGTGTACAGTACCATTTTCCCTAGGCCCCTTTTGCATTTTTAAGCTCACCTCAGTGGACTCATGTTGTACTTGTCCTTTTGTGCTTGGCTTACTTCGCTTAGCATGATTTCCTCCAGTTCTTCCCA